ACATGTCAGGGAAAGCCATCATCACACCCATTAGCAGGTTCAGCACAGCTGGAGGGGCATGGATTATCTCCCCAGGCAGCCTGAAACCTGAGGCAGGGCTCTGCTCACCTTATTGCAGCCAAGAGAAAGAGAGCAAACTCCAGCTCCAGCAGGAAGCCTCCAGTGGCTGGAGACCTGTGGGCTGAGATGATTTTGCACAGCCTCAAGATAGATCTAATCTATCAGGACGGACCCATTTGCTGGCAGCTCCTCCTGGTGCTCGAAGGGAGGATGTGCACACCAGACCCCTCCCGGCCAGCCCTCCCCATCTGCAGGAGGCTTTGGGGCCAGCGGGAGAAAGTCTGGGAAGCGCAGAGAACACAAGCAGCCAGCCTGCCCAGACGAGGCTTCCCATATGCTGCAGGGCTCTAAGCATCCCTGATCCACGGGATGAAGGAATATCGGCCAACAAACTCGACCCTGAGCTCCTCAGAAGCAAGACAGGGACTGACTGCTCCTGTCAGGAGTGGAAAGGTCACTGTCTGGACCACCCACAATGCCAGGCATCTCCAGGGTGTCCAAGAAAAGGGAAATAAGGCCAAGCTAAGTATTTGTGCTCTGTACAAATGGACTTTGACTTACATGATGCTCTGCCAGAGTGCAGAGATGGCAGTGAGCACCATCTCCCAGCACAGGGGGTGAAGCTACCACCGGGTCACTCCTCAGCCATGCAGAGCAGTGAGAGCTCCTTTGCTCTTGTGCTTCCAGACAGGTTTCCCACCTCCTGACTCGTGCTGTCAGGTAGATGTCTCCTGCAGAGCCTTCAGTTTGTCATTCCCTTGTCCCACGCTGCTGTGGGTGAGCACTGACATCTCACTGCAGCAATGCTCAGAGCAGGGGCAACAGGAAACTCCTCTAGACTTCTGCCAAAAGCAGCTCCTAAAGCCCCCAAACGTTGCTCAGGGCTCTTGTTCCAACCAGCAGCCCTCAGGACGCTGTCACACATCCTAACCAGTCCCCTCCTGTCCCCACGCAGCCAGGTACCTTCCCAGGCACACAGCCTGACACTCAGTGATGCCAGGCAGATCCCCACTGCTCCTCACTGCTCCTCCAGCCTCTGTCTCACCAGCAAGGGCTTTCTGTTTCCTTGCAGGTCACAGAAACCAGTGGCATGGTCTGACCCACGAGTGCTTCCCAGCCCCACTCCCACTGTAGATGAAGATTTTATACCACAACTTACACAGCACCCGTGTGTCTGATGTTAAATGGACTAAGAACTGCACTTTATATCAGGTCTGCTTAAACATGATTAGAAACCTGGGTAGATTTCCTGCTTTGAGTGATCATAAAGGGTGCAGGGAAGGCAGAGTGAGAGCTTCTGCTTGTGCAGAAAGCTGGCTGGAGACCCCATGAAAGGAAATCGGGAATTGTGGAGGTTTCTGTAAGGAGGCCTCGTGCAGCTGACAGTGCTGGGGCTCAGGAATTGATGCTGGGGAGGCAGCCAGGCCCCCCATCAGCCAGCCTGCTCATCCCAGGACAGAAGGTCACCAAGCCCATGTCCCAGGGAAGTGCCTCAGCTCTCACCATCTGCAGCAAACCAGCGAAATTTGGGAGGATCCCTCTGGCTGCTGACGTGTCTCATCTCCGTGCTGTGAAAGGGCACTCAGGTTTTGCTGAGCTGGATGGAGGCTGTTGGAGACATCACTTCCCTTCTCCAGTGCCTGAATTCACTGAGGACATGCCAGCAGCCTGCCAGATCAATGTTAAAATTTGCCAAGATATCAGCATCACCTGGGGCTGCCAGGGCTTGCCTGAACCACACACACAGTGTTTTTAGGCCATTAGTACCCATTCTCCTCTTCCTCTCCCCCACAAGAGGCTTCAAGCTCTGTCCAAACTCCCTCCATGCTCCTGCCACCTCCTTCTTTAACTCCTGGGTGAGCAGCAGCATCTCTGCCCCTAATTACAGGCAGGTTGGATTTAAAAATAATAAAAACCTCAACCCAAAAATGAAGCCCAGAGCACTGAATTTGCAGGCACTGTTAGAATAGCACCTTGGGGCTGTGAAATGACACTTTACATGGGAAAGGTCAAGTGCTGTACACAAGGCACACTGCCTTGTTCCGAAGGATCCCACAGCAACAGGACAGACACGGGGTCAGAACCAGGGCCTCACCACCCTCACAGGGGAGAATTTCTTCCTAATATCCAATCTAAATCTATCCTCTTCCAGCTTAAAGCCATTTCACCTTGTCTTGTCATTCCACCAGTACCTGACCTAAAGTCCTCCATGGGATGTCACTTCTCAGTTTGTTAGAGGCACTCTGCCCTTTTCCCAAAAGCATCTGGCAGCTCCAATAGGAGGACACAGTGAAGGGCAGGATGGTCCCATGCTCCAGCCTGACCTGCTTCCTTAGAGGATGGCACCAAGGTCAAGGGGGGGGCACAGGACCCAAAACCCAGTGGGTCACCCAGCACCTGGGAGGAGATTTGAAAAAAATCATATTTTCAAGCACAAGAAGGTTTTCTTTTCCAGTGAATTGCTTCAAATGGCACTCTGCAGATACACCTTTCCTCCTCCATGTTTTACTTTTACAGAGGAAACAAGGAATCACCAGCAATCAGCATCTCCAGTGTGGTGCACACCAGACCAGGATGTGTCCTGGGAAATGCATCTCCCTCCCGGGTAGGACATGGGTGTTGCTAATGCTGCAATTTGCTCTGCTGTACAAATCTCATCTATCAAGAAGGAACTGGAATGGGGGGAAGTAAGTTATTATCTCCTCGTAATGATCTAGCAGATACTTGATGGGCTCTGTCGAGCTACAGAGCTCTCACTGGGTGTGTGGAGCTGGCAGGATTCTGCTGAGGATATGTCCACATAGGATCTTGCTGGGCAGAAAGGCAGGAGAGATGGCTCCAAACAGGAGAGGTGAGTCTGAACCACCCCTGAAGTGATATCCACACCGTCCCCCTCCAGCTGTAACAACAACGAGGAGTCAGGGACCAAAGGTATCACAGCCAACAGGCCCCAAATACCTGCTCTGCCCTGTGAGATGGACAGAAATAAAGAAAACTTCTCCACAAGCCCTGCTAAACCTTTACCCCCCCCCTCCACAGTTTTTCAGGAACAAATGGACAGCTTCACCTTAGCTCTCCCTTGCAGATATTGGCTCACACATAAAGGCCAGGGCACCTGCAAAGCATTGTCTGGACAATCCATTCCCCACTCCAGAGCCTCCCCACAACCTGTGTAGGATTTCCGCAGCTCCCAGCTCCCACGGAGTCAGAAAAGGGGGAACAGCTTCCAACTCCACCAGCCTGTGGGACAAAATCCACTACTTTCCTCCCAACACATCTGCTCTGAAACCATCAAGACACGTTGTGTCACTATCCCCATGCTCATCCCAAGTGCCATGCACACATGCCACACATGAGATGGGCTCCAGCAGCTCCCCCTCTGGCCCCTGTCCTGGTCAAGGGGGATCCCAGGCTTTTTCATCTCTTCACCTCAGTAACAAGTGCATTTTACCCTCTCTACAAGTGGCCAAGACCCAGCTTCAGGCTCTTTAAGCAGTGATATCCAGGGTTTGGAGGTGACCTGTCCAGGGTTTGGAGTTCTCCTTCAGCTTGGCAGTGGCTCAAGACCTCTCCATGACTGGCAGCCCAGGAGCTGGGGAAGGCCTGGGAAGGCTCAGAGGAGCTTCCACAAAGGTGCAGAGGCACTTGGCCACTAGCACTAATCCTCAAGGCCTTGAGCACCATCTCCTGGTCATTCCTGGATTCAGTGGCAGCTGAACCTCGTGCTTCCTCCGTGTCGCCATCCCTGAAAAGCTTGGGGGGACAAACCACATGTGGGAGCCCTTCAAGACACGTGCAACACTTCAGCAGGGTCATATGCTTGCTGCTACACACACACACAAAATGTCATGAGCTCCCCCAAGCCCCTCTCCTGGGAGCTCTGCTGCTCCCTGTTCCTTCCAAGTTATAATGGGAACAAACTCTCCCACTGGCACAGCCACCTTGGCACGCTCCTGTGCCACCATCTCTGCCTGGTGGCAGTGAGCAGCCAGCACAAGATGCTGCTGGAAAACTCCAACCTGTTCATGTCCCGTGGCTCTGGGCAGCAGGACACAACAGCACACTGCTCACGTGGGGTCCCAGGCTCTGAGATCCGGCGGGATCAGCGCTCCCTGTGTAAATAGTGCAGTGGCACAGTTCAACCTTCTGGCACGAAGGAAAGGAAGATAAATGCTACCAGTCCCCTCAGAGCCACGGGAACCCTGCATCTATCTAATTGCACTTCATAATGGATTCAGCAAACCATTAATTATCAGATTATATTTTAGGAAGCTGCAGATAAAAAAGCTTTATGAAATTTAGCCTTAAAGGGGCTGGTGTGCTGCAATGAAGCTGTTGCATCTTGCTGGCACCAGAGAAGCAAACTTTGCAGTGGGCACCTGAATGCATTTTACAAGGCAGAGCCCCCCATGTGGCAGGGGAATGTCCACTTGCAGTCACAGCAGCTATCCCACACTCAAATACTTTCATTAGTGCCAAGCCACTGTCACCAGTAATGAGGGACCCTGGCATGCAGGCACAACTCCTTCTCCTTTTTCAGTATGTTCCTGGTGAATTAAGAGGGTGGTAGGACATCTCAGGGCTGTTTGCTTGCAGAGAGGATGGGGATCCCCAGATCTGCCTTGGACCCTCCTTCCTAACAGACAGTTACAGCAAAAATATGGATGGGATCAGAACCTGTGCTGCACAAGGTGCTACCTAAACAGCACTGAAGTCATTTAGCCCAGTTCCCAGGAAGTCCCTGCTGGAGAAGAGACCCAACGGTCAGATCTGTGCTGGAGGAGGTCTCTAGCTGCACATCAGTCAGTACAGGTGAGAGCAGAAGACACAAAGCAGCCCTCACACACCCTGCAGACAAGATACCTGTGACTACATCACTGATTCAGCCATAAAAATCTCCATCCTAAATTCTCAGGACAGCTTTTTTTTTTTCCTACCCATACACCCCAGTTTTGTCCTGCACTAGTCCCCTCCCCTCCCTTCACAGCAGCAGAGGGTCACACCCAATTCCCATTCTTTTCCTCTGCTTTATTTCTCACCTGGGAGACACAGGTGGTCCAGCTCACCTGAGCTGGCAGCTGCTTAATGCAGGGAGACTTCCCAGGCATTGAATGTCTATGAACCTCTCCTGTCCCTGGTCACTCTGTGCTTGCTGCCTGCCTGGGATTGCCTTCCCAGAGAAGGCCTGGATCTCTGAGCTGGAGCAGCACACTGAGCTCCTGAACAAGTCCAGGGGATAGCAAATGGCAGATGGAGCCCCCCCCCCACTGTCTCCTGCTTGGTTTCTTCACAAATCACAGTTACTCTGTCATCAAACAAGTCCTCCTTAGTCACTGCCACCTGCTCAGAGCCACTTTGGCTCACATGGGATTCAGGCAACATCAAAAAGACTTGGGAGCCAACGAGCTGGGTGCCATCAAAAGAGATGATGTGCTCTGCTGCTCCTTGCTTCGACGTCAGAATCACCTGTGTGGAAGGAAGATGGTGCAAGAGTCAGACATGTACAGCACCACTTTCCCCAGGATCCCTTTGCTGCCCACCCTTTCCCCAGCCTCAGCTCAGGTAATAACATTTAGCTCCACGCCACAGGTCTGCAATTACAACAGGCATGAGACTAATGGGAAACGCCAAACCACACACACCAGTGATGCAAGAGAAGATAGGAGAGTAATTTGAATATTTCTCTCCACAAAATTGCTATAATTTAGCTCCACAAGCAGCTGTAGACAGTAAACACTCTGTGATTATCCACTGGAGGAATGCCATCCCAGGGAATCTTGCACACTGGGTTCTCTCATCCAAGGAACTGTTCTCCACTGATGGCTGAGATTTTGAAGAGGAAGGGGCTGGGTTCAAACCTAGCACTGGGCCTCCAACAGAACAGCTGTAGTCTCATGGGGTGTCATCGAGGTGTTAACAGCCTGTGAGTAGCCAGACACCTCTGCATACCCTGCCAATCCCCCTCCTTGGCTCCTGAAAGCCAGGATCGAGCTGCTTTCCCTCCAGCAAGACCTCCTCATGCCAGCACAGAAATGCCAGAGGGCTGTGGCTGGGGGTTAACATCACAGAGCCCTCTAAAAATGGGGGATCATTTCAACCCAGACTGCTCCAGGATTCTGTGATTCAGTTCCAGGGGCATCATGACAGCAAGAACCGTGTAGAAAGCAAAAGTAACAGGGGAATTATGCTCAGCAGATACAAGACCTGATCCTCCTCCCACAGGACAAGCACTTACACCTGACTCTGTTTCTTAATTGTACCTGAGGAGCTGGACACAGCTGAATCCCTGATCCTTGTCTCAGGTCTCCTTTTGGTGTGAATTCTTGTTCCCTTGTAGCAATGTGCTCCCACACACACTCCCTCCAAGGCATGCCATTTGCAACATGACTATTTTTAATTCCTACACCTCTTGGTAGCTGGAAACTTGGGTAAATGAGATATGCAGCCCTTCACAGTCACAGCCCATCTCTCCCCGTGGACCTGCCTTTTCCCTATGGACTCTGCCTCCTCTGTCCAAGTTATCCCTCTGCCAACCCCAAACTGCTGCACACGGCCTGGAGAGACGTCCTGGTGCAGGAGCAGACAACAGCAACCTTTGCATATGAGACCAACTCCTGGCTGCACCAGCTCACCTGGTAAGTCTTGTCACAGATTCCAAAGGCTTTGCCCCAGTGTGGGTCACCATGTGGTGCTCCAGGAGTGATGGGGCACTGCAGATTTTGGAGCAGGTAGGCCAGGGCTGGTATTCCCAGGAAGGTGCTTCATGGACATGCTTGCAATGTTCCTGCAGGGTGGCAAAGCTCATCTGGCACTTCTTGCAGCTGTAGGGATCTTCAGTGTCTGCCACCCAGAAACACAGTACAAACCACAGAGGGCAAAGAAATCAAGGGAAAAGAAGACTTAAGAGACAGTCAAAAAAAGGGAGGGACATTTTACTTTCCAGGTGGAAACTAGAACTGGAGTTTGGGCTTCACATATAGGTTTTACTGTTCCTGCATACCAACAGCTTTTCCATGGTGAGCTCCCAGCAGCCTGTTTGCCATTATTTTTGAGATAACCCTACTCATAGCATCAAACCATTAAAGTCTCACTTTTCCACACCTGCACAGGGAGGATTAAATTAGCACCCACCTCAGGTATCCAGAGGTACTACACACTTTCACAATGGTGTTTCTCATGTTCAAAATGCATTGCCCAACTGCATCACACTCGTGGAAGTGGGAAATAGAGCCAAGGACATTTTTTACATGGGCACATCAATACATTCTCTGTGCCCATGAGCTGGAAGAGCCCTGCCTCAGCCCCGGGAGCACATGGCACTGAGTGCAGGGGCAGGAGCAGCAGAGGCATGAAAAATATGTGGAATTCAGCCAGAGGGAAGGGCAGGAGAAACTAGGATAACCAGAGGAAGGATGCATCACTGGAGTCTAGGTGTGATGGGACAGAGAGGAACTACTCAAGAGAAAAACAAGGAAGATGGAGGAGAGGAGGACTGCGTGGCTAATCTGAGGAGCTGGATAAGGGCAAAGTGGGAAGCTGCAGGCCAAACCCATGCAGGTGAAGGAGGTCTGGGAGTAGCCCAATGCACAGAAGGCCCCCAAAGGATGGAGAAGCAGCCAGGAGGCAAAGAGAGGAACAGGGCACAAAGGGGTAGATGGAGCAAGCCGAGCCCATGGCTGGGCTCCTGTGGGGAAGCTCACCCTCAGCCTGCTCCCTCTTGCTGTGGTAGGCAAGGGCCGAGGCCTGCATGAAGGCCACCAGGCAGTGCTTGCACAGGAAGGGCCTGTCCCCCGTGTGCAGCTGCAGGTGGTTCTTCAGCGTGGGGTTTGCCACAAACCTGGCCCCACACTCCTGGCAGGAGAAGGGCTTCTCATCCAAGTGTTCTGTCAGCTTGTGCTACTGCATCCCTGGGGAGGCAGGCAGGACACCAGCGTGGCACTAGTGGGACCTGATGCCAGCCTTGCCTCACCCTGCTGCAGAGGCACCACTCCAACATACTGCTGGGTCCACCAGCCCACCAGTGACACCAGGGTCCACTGGTGTCCTCCAGCCTGGAGCCCACCAGGACATTGTGAGCTGCCCCGGGGAGGGCAAAGAGACTCAGCTCCTCTTACTTGTCCTGCTAAAGCAGCCAGGAACTGGAACAGCTTGGTTATTTTTGGAGGCTTTTAAATTTGCCAGTAGCCCCACTTTTCCTTGATGAGCCATGTGGAAAACCAATTAGGGAAGAACTAATCAGAAAGTGGTTGTGCTCAGTGGGGCAGGAGAAATGAGCTGAGCTGCGTTTCTCACACATGGCACTCACAGAGCTGCAGGGAGGAGGAGGAAGTTTCAGATTATCACTTTACAATACTGTCCAAACTTCTGCCTAAACATCCTGCTCCCACCAACCCTACACCTGAGGCATGAGCAAACTCTCTTCCACAGATGTCACACGCCACAGGGAGCCGCTTCTTCTTTTCCTTGGCCATCCCCACCCACCCCGTGGACCTCCAGCTGATGATTTTCCAGCTCCTTCTTGGTCAGTTTGACCTGGCTGCACTCTTTACACTGGATCTGCTTTCCTCTGGACACCTGACAGCGTTTCATGTGCACTTTCAGGCAGCAGCAGAAGTGGAAGGTCTTAGCACAGGCTTTGCAGACAGAACTCTTCTTGGACTAAGCTTTGTCTTGGGATTCCTTTGCTTCTTTGGCACCAGCTCCTCCTGCCTCCTGTCCTTATCTTTGTCCAGAGATCTAACTTGGGATTCACTGTTCACCTTCCACTTCCTGATCCCGGGTTTCTCCCCACTTCTCTCAGTCAAGAGACCTATGGAAATAGCAATTACTGGTTTGGTGGTGACTAGTAGGAGTGGGTACCTGCCCCTCAGTCTCATATCTCCTGAATGCTCCTACGCAGAGGCAATCAGACACTCTGCCCATTGCAATGGTGCCACATGGCCCTGCCCAAAAGTGGCTCTCGTCGTGCGTGGTAAGATGCATAAGGAGTGATCCTTGAATTTCTCCACCACACATACCAGGGCCAGATTTTCCTAAAAGCTTGCTCTCCTCAAACTGTTGCTTCCAAGCATTTGCCTCCTGCTCAGACACATGAAGTTACAGCCATGCTTAAATGTTTGCAGACCTGAGCCTCAGATATGATACTGCCTAAATCTGCCACTGAGAGTGGATATCCAGCCCTTAATTACGAGAAATCTCAGAAACACTTCACAAACACAAACTCTTTGAAAGGGAACAGATAATCTTACTATGACCCTTTTGAGTCTTCTGCTTGGGGCCCTGAGGTATTTTAAATCACTCATTATGTTCATTTCTTACAAAGCTTAATGCTTTCCCTGTCCCTGTAACACCATCATCTCAAAAAGCACAAGCTGGAAAATTCACCCAGGATCTCAATCTACAGAAAAAACCCACAGGGAATGTACGTATGGAAGAAATCAAAATACAAACAGATACATTTGTCTTCTTTGCTATAATGAGAACCAGGAAACTGTGTGACCATGGAAACCAGCACAGACTTTTCCCTTTGCCAAAGTACAGGAAATTCACCCTGTGCTTGCAAAACTTCATCTCTGCCTCCAACAGACCTGGAAATCTTAAGATGCCAAGTGGTGAACCATAACCTGTGAACACATCAAGGGAGAACTTACAGCAGACTGGAAGACTGGTTTCCAGTTTGTCCTGCTCTGCCAAGGTTGCCTTGACCTGTCACCTCTCAGGTTTCTTCCCACATCCCTGCAACCAACACTGTCAGTTTTTGTGACCCAAGTGAAGAAGGATAACTGTACTTTTTTTTTTAAACACAAGACCATGAAGAAGAAAAGCCTTTTCGTAGAGTTTTGACACATTTCTGAGACTGGAAAGTGAGACCCATCTTGACAAACGTGATCTCCCAAGAAGTGACTGTAGAGAGCACTGGAAAGCAGATGGCTGGAGAGGAGGTTATGGAGTTGGCTGAAAAAGCCAAACCCTGTCCTTGCATGCACCAGCTGCCAGCACTGACAGTGCTCCAACTACAGCAGGACCCCAAGGAGAAGCCAAGAGATTCCATGTTGTACCTCCACCAAAAGAATCAACTCATTACTTTGATAATGCTGAGCGTGGTTGGGAATGGATGCAGTTTCCTCCACAGGGCACTCCAAGTGCTTCAGCTCACCTAAATGAATTACCAGAAATTTTCGAGGGCTTTTTCGCAGCAGAGATGCAAAACCTGTTGTTTTCAAGTGGAAATGAGACCGTTCACATCTCCATGTGGCACATACACTCTCAGAAACATAAGGTCTCCTCAGCTTCCAGAGGAAGCTCACACTGCTGAGACATGAGGCCCAGAGCTACCACTCATATCTCATGCCAAGAGCCACATGGCTATTGGTTCATTAAGTCACCTGCAACATTTGGGGCTGGTAAGCAGTGGTGTCAGAGCTGAGGAGCCTCAAAATTAAGATATTGAGGTTCAGTACAAAGATCTGTAGGATGCCAGAAAGAGGCTGGTACCTGGCAATCCTCCTCTGGACACTTCATCCAGAATAGATGCTTTTTGCCAAGTAAATACCATTTTCCAGGGGTTTTGTTTTTGATGTTGCTTCTTGCTTGATTTCGTCTCAACCTTGGCTTGACTCCCTGCAAAGACACTCAGTGACAGCAGTTCTGCTCTCTCTGATGTTGCTGCCAGAGAGGCAGGATCTGCCAGAGCCCTGGCAGCAGCTCCCCAGGCCCCTCTGGTCCCCACTGCAAGGTGTCCATGAGCTCGTGTGGGCTGCACATCCACAGACACATCAACTGCTGGCTGGCCTGCTCCACAGTCATCAGGGCATCAGCCCTGGCACAAGGCATAGCCACACAGGGTCAAGGGGAGTGGGACAAGTGCCTGCAGGATCAGAAGAAGACAGAATGAAAGGCAGATAAGAAAGAATCACCTTTTCTCTGGAAATCAGAGCTGGATTGGTGGCAGCTCTTGGTGGAGTTAGAAAAGAGGACCTAGATCTGAACTGGTTGTAGGACATCTCTCAGGAGTCCACTGAGGCAAGGAAGGGGAGCAGAGCATGTGCTGTCACCCTCCAAGCCCTACAGCTAAAACAGTCATTGAGATCCTAGATTTCTTCTACCTGTGCCCTGCTCCCAGACACCCAGTCCCACCTTCCAGCAACATTTCCTCACTACTCAAGACTGTGGGGACACCAACACCCCCAGGGTGCAGAGGGTGACCTGCCCCCAGCACAGGGGGCCAGGCTTTGTCTGTCCCTGCTAAACACAGAGTGAGGGTGAGTTTCAAAGCCACAAGGCTTAAAGACTGATGGCCCTGACCCATATTTTCAGACCAAGTCATTCAAATTTCTATCCCTAAAAAAAGAGGAGACATTAATAGCAACCTGCTTACTCTAACTCCCCAGCAATCTACTGGCATTTTCACACAAGGAAATAGGGATGGATTGAGCTGAACCAGTGCCTGTGCTTGGATAAAAACCACACTGTGCACATCCCAGTGGACTCCACAGCCCAAAAAATCTGGATGCACTCGGAAACACGATGCCATGAAAATGTATGTGAGCAAAGAGAATTAGCAAGTCACATTTGCATCTTTTCCAGGAGAATGCACACCCGCAGTTACCTTCCTGGACCTCTGTTATCCCTGTCATTAAAGCACCAAATCCAGTTCAGCATTTTTCCTTCAAATGCAAAGACACAATTGGGCTCAGCTGGAAAGCCTCCCACAGCTCAGGGCAGGGCTCACACGTGGTTACAGCTTTGCATTTGTTCTGGAGTTCATCAAATTGCTCTCTGTATGGGATGGTGGATGGTGGCACATGGCACACAGCACAGGAACAGACTCCATTTTGGTTTTATCCTGGGGGGGCCAGGCTACAGCTTGTCTTTGTTGGTTAAACCATTCCCTCTTCCACGCAATCTTTTACTGTTATTGTTGTGTTTATTGCAATTTCTTCAGTATATTGTGACTCCAATTTGTAATCCTCTTAGGATGTTTTTTTCCTCTGCTATCGAAAAGGGCGCTGTTTGAGTGGGCTTGGTCTTCCTGCTGGGTTTTAAAACTAGCACAGATCCTCACAGGGGAGCATTTGCTCTGTAAAGTGCATATGGAGCAAGGCCAAATTAAAGCATTCTAAGAAAATTAACTCAGAAAATAGTCTTTGACTGCAAACTGTGCCATCATGGTCATCTTTGCACATGACAAGTGTGCTCTGCCATGATCTTCCTGCAGCCTGTGAAAAATCCACATATAGAAAGGCAAGTGACTGTAATCTAAGTCCAAACTGATACAGATCCAACAGCACAGGAAGAGCCAATGAAACCCCACAGCTTAAGGATAATAATTCTGAAAAATAATCCAATATAGATACAAATTACAGAACTAAGCTGCTTAAATGCTTCCAGAGCAAGGTTTGGGGTGGAAAAATGCAAACACAGTTAAAGAACACCAGTATAGGGTCAGTTAGGGGCTCCACAACCCTTGTAACATACAAAACTTTGACATGGTGCATGTTACCAGCAGGAGAAACACACACTCCAGTGCCTGAAACCAGAGATCTCCCCTGCAAATCCTCCTGCAAGTACAACCCCAACACCTGGCCAGGGCATCAGGCCACCAGGACACTTGGTCCACCACCAAACTGTCACCCAGAACCATGTGTTAAAAGGTGAAGCCTGTGCTTCTCTTACACACAGGGCCCAGCTCCTGCATCATTGGCTGCAGGTCTGGGAAGGACTCATGGACACTGCACAGCACCTGGTAGATCTTCATGGTCAGGACACACTTCTCAGAGCTGCTTTCAAGGAGGCCTCTGAACTTTCCTTCTGAGCAGAAATACTCAGTAGCTGGAGAAATAATAAGAAGACAAGATCACCTGAAAGATTTTGGGCTGTGAAAGGTCAGGTTGGTCTGGGAGTGAGGGCACATCCTTCCTGATTCATCTCTACTGCTGGGAATCTGCTTTGAGAAACCAGAAAAGAAATCCCTTTCCATACACGTCTGTCCCTCCACTGATACACGTGCATGAGTTGAGAGAATTTCAGGGTTAAGAGAAGTTATAACAAAATAAATTCTCAGACTTTCTGTTTTGGTATTACCCCACTTTAAACCACCTTTGCATGGAAAAAGAGGTTGTTCCTCAACACCTGGCAACATTACCAGCTCACCTAACTCATAAACCTGTGCTTCATCAGGTCTCTTCATCACAACTCATATCTAATCTTAATCTGCCCTCTGTCATTTTAAGGCCATTTCCCCTTGTCTTGTCACTTGCAAAAAGTCCCCCTCCAGCCTTCCTGCAGGCCCTCATTTATATAAAACACCCAATAAAGCATCCAACACACTCATTTCAGCAGAGAGGCACCTCCAACTTTGGAAGGCTTTCAATGCTTATGAGGGCCTGTCCACCCTTTCTTTGAGCCCCAAACCATGCCAGCTTCAAGAGCATCCCCTCATACCTCTTTCACTGCTTCTGTGAGCCAAGCCCTTGTCACCTGATCAGTTGATAAATAAAAGTGAGAACTGCCAAACAGATGAATCCAAGAAGGATTTTTTTCACCACTGAAGTTTCTAAATTGAAGAAGATGCACAGTTACACTTTTGTAGGAGAAACCAAACCCAAACCTTATAATTCATCCAAGACATCCGTGCACAATTTTTGTTTCTGTACTTCTGCCTTTTAATCATTCTGGTTCAGTACCAACAAGAACAATCCATGATTCTCACAGAACTACCTGGGAGAAAAACAGCTAAACACACACAGCATGGGGAGGAAAGATAAAGTCTCTGGGACCCAGAAGACACACAGTGCCGGGTAAGGAGAGAAAACTCTCCGGGATGGAGAAGGAGGCAATGGCAGGCTGGGGGAATAATAAAGGAAAGATTCTGAGCTATTATGAAAAGCTCCCTGAACAAAGACTTCTTGGAGACACGAGTCTGATCCCCAGCAAAGCCAAGGGAAATTCACAGGTGAATTATTTCCCTCCTTCTCCTATCAGAATGCTTCTGATTTTATGACGCAAATTTGAGTTGTTATGAATGCACTCTCAGCTCTGCTGCTGTGCCAAGGTGAGCTCCAGAGCCAGAGTGTGCCCTGTGCCAGGTGCAGGACCTCCTCCTCACCATCAGCAGGACAGCATGGTGACACCAAAGGTGCCACCAGCGAATCCATCAGTCGCCGGGAAAATCAAATCATTCCCTCCCTCTTCATTCCCACGATAAGAAATATTTGTGCTTCTGTTTGTTCAAGCTGCAATTTGAGGAGATTCAGCTCTGTGTAATTAAGGAATGCTCCTCCTTGGAATGGGTATTACCACGAGATAATTAGCCATGCTGGGAGTCTGGTGTTTCAAGAAAGCAATCGTGCTTAACAAATGACAAAGCAAAGTGCCTGTCGGGAATGTTTGCTACAGAGGAAATTATCAGCATTATGAGCACAGTTTTGCTTTCTATTAAACACTCATTTACATTTCACTGCATGTTAATTTAGTTTTTAATTTTTATGTGACTTCAGAGCCTCTCGATGTGAATTGCTCAGGCTATGTCTAAACACACCCAAAGTTGGGAGACTGTCCCACCTCTCCTTTTTATTTACTTGATCAGACAAATGTCTGTTGCTTGTCATGATATCTGCCATGATGCCCAGCAGCCTGATGTGCCACAAGACTCTTCACAGCTCTACAGTACATTTATTTGCCTCTCATATGTTTTGGGCATTCCCTGCAGGACCTAAAACCTTTCCTCAAGTTATTCACTCACTCAGGTCTGTAACCTCTTATAGAAGTTCTCTCTCATTCAGGATGCAAACTTCAGACAGTTCTCCTACCTTTAACATAAAAGAAACTAATCCAACAGCTCCTCCTCCACTCTAATGAGCACCTGAACTCCTTAATTAGTTTCTCTCATTTCTAAAGATCAGTCCTTTTGTAGCCCAAACTCTGTTAGTGAACCTGTTGATGTATCCTCCCATCCAATTCACACCGAGCTGCCTCTGGATCCCTCAGTCTGAAGTCTGAGAAGAGGTACAAGAGCAGCATCTCCTGGGGAGCTCATGCTGTATTGTGGTCACTCTGAACTCTGCAACAACCTAAGCCATGAGACACCACGAATGAAAGGTTACCTGCTCTTCCTTTGTATCCAACTTTATTTCTTTTAGGTGATAATCTGCTTCCAAATCCTCTGCCCCATCTCCCCACATTACAGAAACACCAAAAAACCACAGAAGTTAAGCACTCAAAAAAAGAGAAAGGCTAGGTTAAAAAATTCCCCAGAAAAAAACCAGAGATTTACGAAGAGGCTTCACAAAACATCGTGTACTGATTTTCCAGCAAAGAAAATCAAACCTGCTCCATGCACAGCTCAGACCAGGCACAGAAAGAACCCAGTTGCCCAGAAAAAAGGCTGTTACATGAGAAACTACCACTTATCTTGCTGAATAAATATGTAGCTAATGAGGCAGCGACTGTGAGAAGAAAAAGGAAAGCCTCATCTTCATGAACCCTTGGAGGACTAGATCCCATCCCTGCCAGCCCAGAGCTCCAGTGCAACACTGGCTGAATCAGGTAAGACGAAACCTTCAGAGGTGGCTGCTAATTCCATGTTCTTTTTCCCAGTCCCTGAGATACCAGAGATCCCACCTGCACATGGGCTATGGGCCTGCCATTTTAATCAATTTTTCTGGAATAACTAAACACTTTTCCATTGGCCTGAGGGGAGAGGGTAGAATTAAACAAATAAACCAAACCTGAAAACCAGGAAAGCTGTTAAGATCAAGTCTACGCTTGGCAACTTCTGCCTTGTTTTCCTGTGCCACAGCAGGACAGAGCTCTGCCCCCCTCCTTACCAGAGTGCTCCCCAAATACATCTGTTATTCAGTGGGAAACTGTGGCCTGAAACAAGAGCATGAAGGGATCCCATAGAGAGAGAAGGATTTGGTATTCAGGGCAGGGTTTGGAGGCTCTGCAGCAAACGGAGCACACAGTGACTGACAAGGATGAAAAGAAACATGGAATAACACTGCTCCTCCACCAAAGGAGGCAGAAGCCCTGCAGCACATGATGATGCAACTACAGGCTGTATCCTGTGCCCAAGGAGCAGAATTACGATGGCAGAATGGTTTTGGTTATTACTGGGGGGTTCTGTTTGTTTTTTAAAATGGGAAGGGAAGCAAAAAATGGCTGAATTTTAACTACCTGATTCCACGAAGACAAAAAGAAGAGCGCAAGGAAAAGGTGCAGCCTTTAAAAGAAAGGCCATACTGCAACATGAACAGGCATATATGAAAATACTAATTTCCCCACTGCTGATGAAGCTGCCAGAGCTTGGTGCTCAGCTGTGCCTGTGCTCAGGGATGCTCCACTGGATCCAGTGAGGGACCAGGAGCAAGGCAGACCTTACTTGAGGGGATTATGAGCTGGGCAGAGGTTCTCAGCCCAGCTGTTGTGGCTCTGGTCAGGATCACTCAGACAGAAAGCAGAGATCATTCATGCCACTGAGCACAACCTTCCACTCACTATAATCCTGTGTCAGAGGAACTAACTGATGTGACAAACTAGGACAGGAGGTCTCAAGCTGCGTCCTGATTGCAGCATGTGAGGGCACCCTGTAAGTTCCAGCTGCACAGGGTACAGCCAGCTTCCCCCAAACACAAAGGAAAGCAAGTTATACACAGAACTTTGTCCTTTATGGCTTCTGCAAATCAGCACACATAGTGCAACTGCTTACATGAAAGCAGAGCAACAGTCCTCCCCACCAACTGCTGCCTTCAACACATAAAAAGTAACACCAAATCAGTTAGTCTTGCAGACAACTGTGTGGTAAGAGCCACAAAAAAGAGTTAAAGCTGGGGGTCAGCTGAAAGGGAAGCTGATGACCAGGAACTGGCAAGCACCTAGCAGAGTGGTTCTGCTCACACTCCCCTACAGAGCCTTCTCCATGCTCCCAAAAAGGCATTTTCGGGGCTAGGAGGAATCCCAGGCACCTCCTCTGCCCCAGGCTCCACTTGCAGGGGCAGTCTGACACGGATCCTGGTTTTGAGGTTGCCTTCACTGCTCAGCTGTCACTGTTCCCACAGTCCAGCACAGAAGGACCTGAGAGCACACAGGTGCTTTGCAGAAGGCAAATGAAACAGCCAGGTGAGGCAAACCACGGTACGACACTGCTTTGCATCCCACCCACATCCCACCTCGCCCACACTCTTTGCCTCATTCCAGATGGTTTTACCCACTTCTCCAAGGGGGTCAGGGATCCCTCTTCTGCTGCCTCCAAGAACTCCACGATGGGGCTCAGCTGTGTCACGCTCTGGATCAGCTCCTCCCTGCAGCCCAGCAAGCGAGCGGTCAGCGTCTCCTCCTCAGCTCTGTTCTCTGGGGGGAAAGGGATTCAGAAACACAAGAGAAGAAACAAGTCAGTCTGAAGGAACTGACAGGCTCCTGAAGCAAGGGAGACTCTGTGAAAGATCTAAGTGAATAGCAAAGCTCGTCCCAAGCACAAGCAGCAGAGGAAAATCACTTTACTATTCTCTTTAAACTCTATGAAAGGAAAATGTCTGATTTATCTAACAGAGCACAAAGCCATAAAGCAAGCTGGAGGTTAACACCAGGTTTGCAAGGCCACTGCTTTGTGTCAGGCTCGAGTAAGAAAGAAGCCTTCAATCCCCAGCCTCAGCTGTGCTCTGACCCACGTTAGCTGCCAGCCATCGATCCAGCCCTCCGGGCAGTGATGGGGAGAGCCCTGCACAGCTACACCTGCTGCTGCAGGCAGAAATGCTCCAGGATCTTGGCCAGCACGTGATAAACCTCCTGCATCCAAGGACACAGGGTTTCTCTGCTTTGCCTGTAAGATTACCCACTCAATTTGCAAAGAGGCAGCACCCAATTTCCTACCTCCTTGCCGTGGGGCTTTTCCAGTGCCCTGTTCCCTCTCCAGCAGAGCTGCTCTCAGCCTGGAATTCATGTCTTGAAACAGCTTCAGAAAGGACAGGAGCGTCTGAGTGTCCAGGGGCCAAGTGTCCTGGGTGTCACTATCCTGGGTGTGAGTATCCCTGAGCCAAGCATGCTCCACTTTGCTCAGCAACTTCTTGAACAGTGACTGTTCCCCTGCCTTGGCGAGACAGGCAGCCAGAGCCTACAGCAGAACAGAAATGCAAGAAGACTTGGATAACAGAGTGAACTGCCCTATACAAACACACATAACAAGCAGAACCCCGAGGTTTTGTTCAGGGGACAAAATTAAACAGAAAAAAACCCCCAAACAACCCCACATAGACACACGCTACTGAACCCAAGCTCCAGCCCTGGGAAGGAAGGCAGCAAGCCCTGCTGCCAGCCCTTACCTGTACAGCAAATCCCACAAACTGGAGCTGGTTCCAGCACCAAACCTCTCTTCATGTCTTCCCCAAATAGCCACAGGCCAATAAGTGTAAGGGACCTGATAAACCATGGATTATAACCACTACTTTGGAAGGCCAAGGCTGGGGCAAGGGATACGGGGTCTCATTGCAGAACAAGGAGGGATCACGTACATAGAAAGCAGAGAGTATTTCAAACAGGACTTTCAGGAATCTCCAACCTCAATCACAGTGAAGTTTTGTCTCCTAGAGAGAGCTCTGGAGAGGAGGCACACAAACTCTTGAGTGCCAGGGGCTCCCAGCATGCCGGGCAATCAAACCCAGAGCTCCAAAATCTACTCCAGTGACCTGAAACAGCAACCAGAGGCAAACGAGCCTGTGCAGTTATGGAAATAAAAGGCAAAGAAATAAGCTGGAACTCTTGCTCCTATTTCCCCCAAGTCCTTTAGCGCTGTAAACATTGCCCCTGAAGACACACACTCCCCAGCTCTCCAGGAGAGATGCCAGCCTTTAGGAGCAGGCAAGCCTTTACTGGAGACTCCAGGGATGCTATAAAGGTACCTTTGAAGTGGGGAGTTCAGCCCCGCTCCAGGGAGAACGGCCATTTTCTGCTGTCACTGTCATTTTTATTCCAGTGATAAAAAGGCTGAATGCAACTGCTTGGGGCTGCGCCGGGGGAGCCTGGGCTGGCTTTCCCAGCAGGTGGGAATGCTCATGGATTTGGGGAGCAAGGCAGTGCAGTGACCCAGTGCAATGACTGTCCTCAGAGGGGAAACTGCCCGAGTCCCAGCTTCTCCCACTGGGTTTTCCTGCCCAACAGAGGCTGTGGACATGAAGGGCTCTGGTGTAAAGAAGAAAGGAGACGCCGCAGATGCGCTGGAGAACAAACTTAAAGGTGTTTTTTTTTTTTTAATGCAAACATTAATTTGTAATGAGACTTGATAACCAGATCATGTTTGTTCTCAAGGTTTGCATGCCTGGCCTCTTCCAGATCAAAACGAGCCTGTAAAACACAAAATACCTCCACTCTCACCATCCTGATCCTCCCGAATCCATGTTTGTACTAATATGGATGAAAAATAACTTGTCATTGTTGCAATATATTTTTTAATTTTGGGATTTTTTAAATTAAAATAGCACAGCATTGCTACCCAGAGCCCCAGGCAACATCCCTTCCACAGTGCATGGACTTGGTTAATGGAAATGACTTTTCAGTAACTGATCTGCTATTTATGGGCTCTTTCCAGAAGACTTTTCCTCAGACATGTTGCTCAGTGGGAACAACAGCCTTTTAGCATTGCTATGAAAGAGCACACAGTACATTTTATACTTACTTTGAAGCACTAACAATTCCAAAAGATCCTGGAAAAAATGGAGAAATACTGATCCTAGGTGGAATCCCAGCTTCCACTTAGTCATAATATGCCCCCACATCCATCAGGCTTTCACTGCCTGGGATGCTGCAAAACCCTTCCTGGCCAAGTTGGCACAAATTAGCACACATCCAGCTTCCAGATGGGAGCAAGAGGGAAACTGAGTCACCAAGACCTGGCTTAAGCTTGAGCTGTGCCACCAAACAGGCTCCATGGTGACTGAGAAGTTTGGTCCCAGTTGAGGATGTCAGTTCTGGAGGCCACAACACTCCCAGCTCACACACCATCTCAGTGGTCACACACCATGGAACAGCCCTCCCAGTTCATCTCAGGCCTTCCCATGCCCACAGCAGCCCCAGGGCAACCTCTGAACAGGAATCTCTGCAGGTAAGGGCCCAGGAGGTAGCTCTCCACATCTTCCATGTTTTTCCAGAGAGGACCTCAACCAGATGGGCAAACAATGTACATCCCCCCAGGCAAGGTGCCCATAACTGAGACTAAGAAGGGATGTGAGGAGAGAGGGAGGGCAGGGCAGTCACTAGCCCAGCTGGCCACTAGCCCAGCAGTCACTAGCCCAGCTCTTCCCTGCAGGTGGGAGACCAGGGTTATGGCTTTTCATGCCTTATCAATGCTCCTGCTCCCACCGTGAGAGCAACATCCCAGCAAAAGCCACTTTAGTGACTATTTCTGAGTGATCTCCTTCAAGCATTGGCTTTAGAGTGAATGCAAACCTCCAGAGGGTGGTGAGGAGGGATCTGCAAGAGACAGGTTGAAAAGCAGCTGTTCAGGGTGGCAGAAGAAGCTGGCTCCCTTCAGACCTCTCCTGTGTGAGCAGAGGGACACTCAGGTACACCACAGGAGGCTGGGCACCATGGGGAAACTTCCAGAGCCACACCATCAGTGCCCTGTGAATGAACGCTGCTTTGGGTTTTATACTGTTAATTTTCAATGTGAAGAAGGTGAAAAAAATATAAAAAAGTCATTAGAAACCTGCACAGACTGGCAGGGTTGGTGCACGGACAGGCCCAGGACAGGCTCCACACACCTGGCTCTCAGAGAAGCTCCTTGGCTGTGACCCCACCATGAAGTCAATCAACTATCACTGTGCATACAATAATCAGAAAAAAACTGTGTTCCCACTCCTCCTTCAGAAACCCAAACTGCTTTTTTTTCAAGCCTGCATCTGTATGTGACTGATGAGGGAGACCCCATGAAGGCTCTGTGGACAATGCTGATCTCCTGCTTGCTCAACTCAACAGGAGCAAAAGCTCAGCCCAAACTTCTACACAAGAATAGGGTGGAAAAAAGTTCCCTAGCTCTGTCACCACGACAGGAAAAAAGCAAAACCCTCACAAGCTTTCACTGCTAATCAGGATGCAGAAGATAACAGGAAACTTCTTTCTTCTGCTGCATCCAGAAATCCCTGCAGCTGCAAATGAAGGACGACAACCAAGGATTGGACAGGCCCACAGGCAATGGAAACGATCCACAAGCACAGTGACATTTATTCTACGTGGGAGCATCAACGCTCCCCCACTTCATCTGAACCCAGCAGTACAGGGAACAAATGAGCTGTGCAATAATTTGAATTGAGTTTCTCTATGAGAGCACGGGAAGATAAGACTTGACACCAGCAAAGCTCTTCCACGCTTCCCCAAATTACTGCAATTTCAGTCTTGTTCTCATTTCCAAGCAGGTTTCATCCAAGCCGGAACCAAATTAGATAGGAATAGTTTATGCGAGATATACAGAGAAACTCTAAAGCAAAAACAAGCCCAAAAATCACATCTCCCTAAACTGAAAAGCAATTCATCTGCATTTTTCAGTTCAGGGAGCAGAACAGAACACCAAAATCAGAAGAGAAGCAATAGTTCTCACAAAAGCCAGCCTTGTACCACAAACCTTCTTGAGGAGAAAAGCCCACGACCAAACAAGTCTCCACTGGAAGCAGGAGGGAATAGGCAGGAGCAGCAGAGGGGAGCAGACAGGAGTGCTGCAGGGAACAAGGCACCACGCAGGGATGAGCTCACCAGCAACAGAAAAATAAAGAAGCATCCAACCCCAAATCCCAGAGAAACCAGAGGAGCCTGAACACCAGGACAGCCTTGGTGCCAACAGGCAGGCTTACAAAACCCCCCTGAACCCTCACACTGCCCAGGCTTTGCTGCCCAAGGCACATCACTGCTTGCTCAGAGAGATCAGCCACCCCCAAAAGGCTCCCAAGCAGAAGCACCCGAGGGACAGGAGACCTCCCCTGCAGCAGGGCAAGCACACCCAGCAATGCTTTCTGCAAAGAAATAGCATCTCACCGGCTTCCAGACCTGCTTTTACTTGTCCCCAGCAACCCAAGACTTCAAGCAAATGACTAGCAAAAGGATACAAAGAAGGGGAGGGGAAAAAAAAGGAGAGAAAAAGAAAATCCATTGACATCTACCACTGGCACAGCCTCAGCCTGAATTACACATCCGAGCTGGGCTCTTAAGAGCTGAACTTGCACTTCAAGCATGACTTTAAAAACACACCGGTGTGCTTCCCCCCAAAGAAAACACCAGGCCCTTCTGGGAAAGAGCTGTTCTGTGTGCTGCAAACAGAGCCCAGACTCAGTGCTGGTGCCCAGAGGTCCCGCTGATCTCAGAGGGGAGCTCAGAGAGGGACAGATCTGGTTGAGTCCTTGCTTACAACAGGCTGCAGCCTGTTCCCCCACTGCCCTGGGGCTGACACTTTTCATGCTTGTCACAGCTGAGAAGTGATTTTTCGGGAAGGCTTAAAGAAAATCCATTTCTCATTTATTCAGCATTTATTTATAGCTGCAGAAAAATTGTCCAGCTACCGCTTTGCAGCCAGACACCCAAACCGGCTCTGAGCACCACAACCTCTCTACTTGGCTCCTGCTGCAACAGCTCTTTTGGGAGCACAAAGGGCTGCAAATGGGGCTGTGAACCTTCCCTGCTGGGTCTGAGGTGCTGAAGGAACATGAAACAGCAGTGACTGCAAAGCAACAGCAAGCACAGAAGCTGCAGCTCACCTGCCTGGGCACTCTGCTGGCACAACTCTGCCCTGCTTCGAGCAGCAAGGGGGGCAGGAGACAGTGGTGGTGCTGCTGGCACGGGGGCATCGAGCTGCCAAATTCCTTCTGGCCACGCCCATCCCCACTGCACAGCACTCACCCCAGCTCTGCTCCTATTGTAAGGGTGGAGAACAGTAAAACCTTAAACCTGACATATTTATCTGATCACGGCAACAAACAAACGTACAAAAAAATAATCCTTCTCTGAGCAGGGCATTCAGAGGTGCTTGTCAGCCCAGCCAGGCTTGGGCTTGCCACTGCAAATGGAAATCTGTCTCCTAAAGGCCACGAGATGTTACATTCAATAACATCAGAACCAGCAGCTAAGGGACTCGGGTTTCCCTCCATGAACATTTAAGGACTCAGCAGAAAACAATCCTTTGCTCCCCAGCTCAAGGGAATTCTCCTCCCTGCTGTCATACATGTTTTGGAGGTTTTTTTTCTAACAGACATAATGCCTTGGGCTTTTATAAGCAGAATGCCACCACAGCCAAAATGTTCTGCTGTTTCTGTGGTGGCTCTGAGCTGGGACAGCAGCTGGTATGTGGCTACCACTGCTCAGAGCCCAGAGTACTCTTCAGCACACCCCGAGCACCAGACTCAGCTATCCCCTCCAACAGAAACCAAGCATCATTCACCAGCTCTGACTGCTCTTAAAGCAGCACACTGCCAGGAGAAGCATCACAGGGCAGCACCTGGCACCCCCCTTCCACCCCCCATTCCACTGCCCCCTCAGCAGCTCTGCCATCCACAGAGTGCAGCAGAGGCTCCACAGCAAGACAGTGCCAAGAGCTTGGGAAATCTATACTGGGATCTCACATGTCAGTTGTTTACAAGTCGATGCAGTTCCTGAAGCAAATGCCATAAACAGGAGGAGAGAAATCTGTGCTGGAGCTCTCCTAAAACACAAGGATGTCTTCAGGGCAGGACATACTTTTTATCTGTGTGCATGAGCAGCTTGCACTTACAGATGCTTCTCTCCAGGGTGGTGCTCAGGTGAGCACATGGTGCCCTTCAAACAACCAGGCACCAGTTTCCCATGCAACAGTTTCCTGAGCAAGGCACACTATCCTAGCCCTTAGCAGGATGGGCTAAGAAAAACTTGTCTCATTTATGGAAGTAAACACACCTACCTCCTTTTGAGAGGCATCAGTTTCTCTGCTCGAGTCTTTTCAGCACAGCCTGGGCATCAGAAAGGGCCTCAGAGAAAACACTTTCATATCCAAGAAAGAAATCCAGTTTACAGCTTTTGCTCTCTGCTGCTGTGCAATAGAAAAACAAGATGAGTTATTTGCTAATTGAAGGGATTCGCAGAAAGCACGATGTGACTGAAAGGCACCGGTTTGTAACCAGCACATTGGCTATAATAGGAAAACTGTGACTTACAAATCCCTTCTGAAGACATCACACAGCCTGGAGGGAAAACCAACGGTTTATTTAACACCAGTTATAAATGGAACATTTATTTTAAACCCAGTACAGCCTCTGTTTTCCTCCCATGCTGAACAGGAGTTTAAAGGATAAGGTAGCATTAGTAGGCAACTCTGTTCACTTGCTGTTAGACAGACTGACTGATCAGCCCCATGTCCTGCACAAACACAGGTCCCACCACATGGCAGATGCATTCACACACCTAGGCATGAAAAATTTTGCTCACTACAGCTCTGGCAAAATGGTGAGCGTGAAACAACTGCAAAAGCCAAAGGAAGAAAATCCCTGCAGAACAGGGTGTTGCTACCAACTCAGTGCAAACTAAAAAGATCCAACACTGAGAAAAAGATACCCCATTCCAGGAAAATGTGAGTCAATGTGTTGCCAACAGGAGGCAATGCTGTGCCCAGACCTGTGAAGTCTCACCCAAATCCCTCTGGAGGCTCAGCAAGCTCTGGAGACTCTTCCACACAGCCACTTCACTCAGCATGGGCAGGCTGGTCAGGGCCAGAGCTTGAATCCTCCTGGAGGGACCTGGAGACATTCAACATCAAGTCCTCGTGAACCCAGGTGCAATTCACAGTAAGTTCCTGGCCAGGAGGAGAAACATCTGCTTCCATTTCTGCTTCTACAGGGCCAGGTAAAGGGAAAACTCTCTGAGTGAGAAGGATATCTGTTTTTTCTTCTTTGGGTTTTCCAGACTGGGGCAGGTTATTAGCTTCAGCTTTGTTTTCAGATGAATCTGCTGCCTGGCTGGAGACTCCTCTCAGTGTACCTGGTCCCGAGGAGAACAGCTTATGAGGTCCCTGAGGAGGCTTTTGCAACTAACAGCCACATCAAACATCTGCAGACTATCTGCCACGGAGATAACTTTGGTGCAATTGTGTTTCCCCAGTGGGAGTTTGCCACTGTACATCATCTCCAGCAAGAGTGCAAACTCCTCAGGCATCACCACAGAAGCATCAATGGAGATGCTGTCTGTACAGTCCAAGAGGGATTTAAACAGCAGGCTGGCAGCAGCCAAAACCACCTTGTGTGCTCTAAAATGCACGTCCCCAATAAAGATGGTGCAGTCACAGAAGTGCTGCTCCTTGCACAGGGTGTACAGCTGGGGCAGCAGCTGCTGGCTGTAACTGGGGAGCTCCATGGCACCCACTGGCCTCCTCTCACCATGGTGTCCACACTGCTCTCACAAAACCCAGCTAACGAGAAGGAAAGGGACTCTGTCAGCATTTTGCTCTGCAAGACAGAAGAGTAAATAAAAACTACTTTTTAGTTTACACATTCCAGTAGTTTACTGTGCTGCAGTTCTGTGGTTACAGCGAGATCCCCATTTTGAACTCACATTCCATGAATTCAGCAGTTTACCCTGAGACCTAAAGAGCCTCGATAGTGTTCAAACCTCAGTGAGCAGATTTGGATTGAGTCCTGAGTCCCAGGAGCTTTAAAAAGAGAGCAGAGCCTCCCCAGTATGCCACACAGCTCATGGAGGTGTGAGTGCCCACCGGATCAGTGCCAGGCTGTGCCTGCAGCCAGGGGCTGGAGCTGATGCTGAATTCAGCAGCTGGTTTCTGAAAGGACAGGTGGGAAAGCAGCGCAGGAAGACCTGTTCAGATCATCTATGAAACACAGAGGAGAATCTGAGAAGCTAGTTTTGATCTGCAAAGCACTAAGTGGTTTGGGACCAGTTCATTTTCTCCCTGCATCACTGGTAAGATGAGCAGGGCCATGTGAACATTAGAGATAGAGGTCTGCTTGCAGCCCAGGGCCTTCAGCACCCCCTTCTCAGCACACCACAGTCCCAACTCATCAATTTAAAAGTCTTTGTTCCCAAGCTGTAATTTTTTTGCAGAAGTCCAGAGCCCTAAATCTCATCTACCAGAGCCTTCCTTTTACTTCCCCCCTCCCCACCCTGTTGCAGGAGGGAGAACATATAGGACATCTGCCAACAGAATTTTGTATCAGCGGGATACCTGGAGTTTTTATCTAAGCCAGACAAGATAAAGATGTCACTGCCTTGTCTACACACTTGGATGCCTAACACTAGTGCAGGCCACAAAACAGCATGAACACCAGAGAAAGAGCACCTGGATGGACACAATTTACATGACCTTCAACGCTTAACATCTTTGCACTCAGCTTCCTGCTCTCTTGCAGAGAACAGGACTAATATTGCCTGTCAGCAGGCCATGAGCTTTAAGGAGCACATACTCCACCTCGAAGCGCTGCCTCTCAGGAAAGCAGGCTCGGAGCAATTCCCAACACTCCAAGTCACAAGCAGACACTGGGCATAGGCTGAGCTGGCACCTTGCTCCTTCAAGGCACAAACCCCTCTGGAGCTCAGCCTTTGTGGGAAGTAGGACTTCCTGTCCACAGGCAGGCAGGACCCCAGCTGTCCTTCTGAGTGGCACTGCCTGTGGTGGCTGTGGGAAGACAGAAGAAGTCAAGAGGCATCACCTCATTCCAGAGGTACAGACAGCTGAGCAACTGGTTGGTGGATCCCAGCCATGCAGGAGAGCTCTCCTGAGTGGCCAAGAACTCCCACAGGCTCTAAAGATGAAGTGCTATGGAACACGTTTTTCAATCACCAGGTGAAGATCCCAGATGGTTTTGCCATCACCTCAAGGCAGAGGTGTCCTGCTCCCCATCTGGGCACCTGTGAAGCAAGAGCACATGGTGGTTAGGTCCTTCTCTGGAAGGCAGGAAAACCTGAGCGGAATGACAGCCCACCCTCCTGCTCCTCAGAGACAGAGCTTCTCGGGGCACATCGCTACCAAAGGTTGGCTGGTTTGCAGCTCATCTTTGCTGTACCAGATCCACCCCTTCAGCCATGTACAGGGCTGGCCACCTGCACTTCCAGCCTATCCAACATGTGGGCTCTGCTCTCCTCCCACGCTGTTGTAAATCACAAGGAATCAAGCTGCCATGAGCAGAGTCGCTGCTGGCCGTGGGAGAAGAGAAAGACCTGATTCTTTTGCCAGGCTCAATGTAAATAGCATTTTCAGTCCACCCACTCTTTCCTGAAGCTGAAGGACTTCCAGTATCTGAGATGAAATTGGGTCTGCTGGTTAAATAATAATAGCTGTGGCTCTTCCTACAAAAGGACAAGCAGGAAACATCGATGTCCTGGAAGAGACGTCTGCTCACTTTGCCATGAACAGCCTTCTGCATGAAACCTATTGCTTGCACCATGGCAAGCTGGAGGAAGCAGCAGCACCGTCTGCTCCCTCTATTCCTGGCAGGAATATAGAAGACATATTTGCTCATGACAGCTCGAAACAGTGAAGCTCTAAGCAGCCTAGCAGCGTGTCCCCTTCTTCATCACAGCAACTCAGAGTACTGGAAAATGTGTCCTAAGCAATTAGCACAGACATATTTGTTTAAATACATTTTACTTCTTTAATTATAGGGACCCAACAACCCAGTACCGCCAAAGAGAACAGGCATTTGTAACAAGGGGTGCTGGCCAAGATCAGCCTCAAGGCAACTGCCCCCTACTTAGAGCACACTTCAGGCTTTTATTCAAAGCTTAGAGCCAGAAGGGACCACACCAGCAATCTGATTCCTCATCCATCACTGCCTCCCAGATTTCCAGGCTCATAACTTGGGTTTGGCTAAAGCCTCTCTTCCAGCAAGGTGCCTAGTCATGATAAGAACTGATTTTTAGGGGGAGGACCCTCCACCACCACAGTTATTCTACCTGTTAATTTACATGTCTTCTTTCTCACCTGAGTTTGTCTGGCTTCATCTCCCAGCCGTCCTCTGGATGACTTCTGGGAGAGCTGGCTGGGGGACTGGGTGGAACTGGGAATCTCTGAGAGCAGGTAACTGATCCTTCAGCAGCGATGAGTGCTGACAGAACATGAGCTGTCTGCCTCTGCCAGCAGCACTGGTAAGAAATAGCCAGCTGTCACATCTTCATCTTAAAGCTGCTTCTCTGCAGCCCTCCTGGGACATACTGCCAGTAAACCAAGACAAAGTCTGACTCACTTGAGTCACAAAGGGGACAAAGGAGACAGGGCATTTGCCCATCTGAGCTGCACAAGAAACGGGCTTTGCAAAATTAATCCTTTGATGGGACATCTTAAACCCCATCCTTCCAGCTTTCCAGGGAGAACACCAAGATGGCTTAAGAGTTTTCCTTCCACCAGCTTCCAGTGAGACTGTGAAATAAGCAATTTAAGCCAAATTTTCAACAGTGCCTAAAGTTCCTAAGGCTCTGCTTGACAACATGTCGATAAATGTCCCCCGTCATCCTTAAGCAGCAGCTGCCATCTGTGATTGCTCTCAGGACACCCACTTCAGCAAAATGCCCCTTCTTCTTCTGAACTCCCAAGTAGAGGTGGTCCAGAACAGGTCTGCAGCAAACATCACCCTCCACTGTTCAGTTCCAGCTCATTCCACCTTTTCCCAGGTATTCCTGCCCTCACACAACTCCACAGTTTAAGGGAATCGTGTCTTTTTCTTTAAGCTATAGTAGAACAGAAAAAGATCTGTTGAGAGCAACAACCTTTCTTCACAGAGAAGGAGGAAAGATGGACACCCAATTCTATCCAAATAACTAAAAAAGAGTGCCCAAATTAAATTACTTCTCTTCATTATTCACATAATTACTTCCATCTAGATCCAACAGATTCAAAAGCCACCCACATCACCAGGTTCATCAAAAGATAATTGAAATTTAGGACCAAGCACTTTGGCAATTAAGACTCTGCAGAGACAGGTGCTCCAAAGGTGCATGGATGAGACCACTCTTCCCTCACAATTCCTGCTGCCACAGTACCCACACCTTTAGAACACCCATCACAAGGCACAGAAAGAATTTTAATGTCTCTGTGGCCTTAGCAAAAGGATTCTGTATGTCCCTCACTGCCATAACTAAGGACTTTTGCAAGGTGCTGGTCAACACAGCTGCTGCCATTAATAACACCAAAAGCTCTTTCTGCATCCCTCTCAGTGGCCAGCTTGAGGATGTGTTCCACACCTGAAATTCCTCCTGGAGCAGGCTTTTTGTAGCTTTAAAATAAACCCCAAACCAACTACTATTGCTGCACACTACCAAAACATGAAGCACTCCCAGCACAGTGGTTCTGAAAGGCACAAAACCCACAGCCTGCTGCTCCCTCTGCTGCCGGCACGGCACAGCCCAGCACTGCCAGGGCCAGGCAGAGATGGATAACCTGGAGCACCCACATGGATAATGAAGCTCCATAAAATCAGCCAGCACACCCGATGAGAAAGTAGAAGAAAGCAAGTCCCATGTGAGTTCTAAAAAGCCGAACCAAAGCAGGCAGAAAACAAAACAAAACAAAACACAAAGCGGACAGAAAGAGATAAGCAAAATGGAAGAATCCAACTTCCCTGTCTTAAGTAAATGCCACTTCTGCTGGAGCTGACGGGAGGCGCTCACAGGAGCACCCCTCAACCCTCCTGCTCCCCAGCTCTCTCTGCTCAGGGAGCTAAAACCAGAAGTGGTCAGTGAAGCAGGTGCCAGCCCACAAAGGCTCCCTGCCCTGTGAGAGGAGCTCACCCCACCCCGGCCCACTTGCAACCACTCAAAGGCTCATTTCACAGTTCTTATGGAAATCAGTGAATTCAGCAGGATGGAAAGCTGGGATTCATCTCTCATGTTCCTCGACCCTGGGAATGACACTGGCCTCTAAACGAGGGGCAGTGTTTTGTTTTTATCTCTGAGGAGTTAAGGGCAGTGGCAGCCTTAAATAGCAATCTGAATATTTTCTGCGTGTGTTTACCGGTTTCCTGTTTTTTTGTTACCAAGATGATGATCTTACAATGAGGGTTATTGGAAAGCCAGAAAATCAAGGACTGCAATTCAATTTTCTTACCTCTCCCACCAAAAGCAATTCAGTCTTTGAAGTGCTGAAAGAGGTTTGAGGGGGTCATTACTTGTCTCTGGGGTGCTCCAATGGGGCAGAGCAGGCAGCTCGCCCAGAGGATAATGTGAAATCCAGCACAAGGAGATAGGGCACACCAATTTGTTTTTCAATCTATTTTGTTGCAGTTCAGAGCATCAGTGCAGGCTGATAACAGAGGAAAATAGGCAACACTTTGACTAAATTCAGCGCTCCACAGTCTCTAAAGGCAGCAGAATATACAGCTTGAACCCCACGCATTTTGTCTGCACTG